GCCCTGTGGGCATCTTGGGTTCAGTAGCCCAGCTGAACTCTCCCAGCCTGGTGGCAAGGGGCCATGCCCTCAGTGATCAGATTACACAGAGCACTCAGGAGGGCTGCCCCATCCTGCCCGGTTTCATTCCAGGGATGGTTTTGCTTTTTTAAGAACTGTTTTAAGTTAACAGCAAAATTGAGCAGAAAGTACAGAGATTTCCCATATATCCTTGCCCTGACACACGCATGGCCTCCTTCACTGTCAACATCCGGCACCAGAGTGGTTCATTGGTTAGCAATGAATTTTCTACATAGATAATCATGTCATCTACAAATAAAGACATGTTTATTTCTTCCTTTCCAATCAACATACCTTTTATTTCCTTTTCTTATCTTATTGCATTAGTTAGAACTTCCAGTATAATCTTGAAAAGGAGTAGTGAAAAGGGACATCCTTGTCATATTTCTGATCTCAGCAGGAAATCTTCTGGTTTCTTACGATTATGTATGATGTTAGCTGTAGGGTTTCTGTAGATGTTCTTTACTAAGTTGTGGAAGTTCCCTTCTATTCCTTGGTTGCTGAGATATTTTATCATAAATGGGTGTTAGGTTTTGTCAAATACTGTTTCTGCCTCTATTGATAGGATTATGTGATTTTTCTTCTTTAGCCTTATGATTGATTACATTAATTGATTTTTAAATGTTGAACTAGCCTCGCATGCCTAAGATAAATCCCACTTGGCCGTGATATGTAATTCTTTTTGTACATTGTTGGATTCAATTTGCTGATAAGTTCTTGAGGAATTTTGCATCTATGTTCATGAGAGCAATTGGTCTGTACTTTTCTTGTAATGCTTTGTTTTCTTTTGCTATTAGGATAATGATGGCCTCATAAAATGCGTTAGGTTTGTATTCCCTTTGTTTCTATCTTCTGGAAGAGATTATAGAGAATTGGTATAACTTCCTCCTTAAATGTTTGTTAGAATTCACCTTTTGGGCCTAGTGTTTTCTGTTTTGGAAGTTATCAATTATTGATTCAATTTCTTTACTAGATACAGGCCTATTTATATTGTCTATTTCTTCTTGCATGACTTTTGTCACATCGTCTTTCAAGCAATTGGTCCATTTTATGCAGGTTACCCAATTTGTGGGCATAGGGTTCATATAATTTGTATCTTCTCTCTCTCTGTTTTTTTCCCCTTAGCCTGATTAGAGGCTTATTGATTTTTACTGATGTCTTCAAAGAATCAGCTTTTGGTTGTTGATTTTCTGTTTTCAATTCAATTAATTTCTGTTCTAATTGTTATTATTTTACTTATTTTGTTTGCTATGGATTTAATTTGCTCTTTTTTCTAGTTCCTAAGATAGAAACTTAGATAATTTATTTTTAGGTCTTTTTCTCTTCTAGCATATACATTCAATGCTATAAATTTCCCTCTAAGTACTGCCTTTGCTGTATCCCACTAATTTTGATAAGTTGTATTTTTAGTTTTGATCAATTCAAAATATTTTAAAATTTCTCGATTTATTCTTTGACCTATATGTTATTCAGCAGTGTGTTTAATCTCCAAATATTTTGGAATTTTTTGGCTATCTTTATATTACTGATTTCTAGTTTAATTCCCTTGTGGCCTGATAGCAGACATTGTATGGTTTCTATTAAGTTTGTTAAGGTACATTTTATGGCCCAGAATGTGGTTTCTCTTGACAAATGTTCTACATGAGCTTGAGAAGTATACATATTCTGCTGTTACTGAATGAAGTTGCCAGTGGATGTCAGTTTTATCCAGTTGATTGATGTTGCTGTTGAGTTCAACAACGTCCTTACTGATTTTCTGCCTGCTGGGTCTGTTCATTTCATGTAGGAGAATACTGAAGTCTCCAGTTATAATAATACAGCCATCTATTTCTCCTTGTAGTTCTGCCTCGCTTATTTTAATGTTCTGTTAGGTACTTGCACATTAAGGGTTACATTTTCTTGGAGAAATGTCCCTCTTTCTCCCTGATAACTTGCCTTGCTCTGAAGTCTGCTTTGTCTGAAATTAATATAGCTACTCCTGCTTTCTTTTGATTAATGTTAGCACAGTATATCTTTCTCCATGCCCTTACTTTTAATCTATATGAGTTTTTATATTTAAAATGAGTTTCTTGTCAACAATGTATGATTAAGTCTTGTTTTATAATCCACTGTGACAATCTCTCTCAACTGGTATATTTAGACCATTGCCATTTGAAGTGGCTATTGATACAGTGGGATTAATATCTGCCATATTTGATACTGTTTTCTATTTATTACCCTTGCTCTTTATTCTGTTTTTGTATTCTACTCTTGTTTTGCTTTCTGCAGTTTTAATTGAGCATTTTATGATTTAATTTTCTCTCCTTTCTTAGCATATCAGTTATACTTCTTTTTCTTTTAACTTATTTTAGTGGTTTCTCTAAAGTTTACAATATGCATTTATAAGTAATACAAGTCCACTTTCAAATAATACTATACTGCTTCATGGTAGTACAAGTACCTTATAACAACAATAATCCTAATTCCTCCATTCCATCCCTTATCTCACTGCTTTTATTTATTTCACTTACACGTAAAGATATGTAGCATCTATATACTATAATCATACATACTCAGACACATTGTCATTATTTTGAGCAAACTATTATCTGTTAGATCAATTAAGAATAAAAAAAAATAAGTTTTTATTTTACCTTCACTTACCCCTTCACATTTCTTCACCTGCTCTTCCCTTATGTAGATCTGAGTTCCGAGCTATGTCATTTGTCTTGTCTCTGGAGAATGTCTTTTATCATTTCTTTCAAGGCAGGTCAACTGCCCATAAATTCCCTCAATGTTTGTGTCTTGAGAAAGTCTTTATTTCTCCTTTACTTTTGAATGATATTTTTCTGGGTTGAGAATCCTAGGTTGGTGTGTTTTTAATCTCAACATTTTAAATATTTCACCCAACTCTCTTCTGGCTAGCATGGTTTCTAAGAAGTCAGACATAATTATATTTTTTTTCTCTCTATAGGTAAGGTTGTTTTTCCTCTGACTTCTTTCAGGATTTTTTTTTTTTTTTTGGTCTTGATTTTCTGTAGTTTGAAAATATTCCCAGATATGGTTTTTTTGTTTGCTTGTTTTTGGCATTTATCCTGCTTCGTACTCTCTGAGCTTCCTGGATCTGTGGTTTGGTGTCAGATGTTAATTTGAGGAAACCCCCAGTCATATGATATAATATTTCTTTTCCTTCTCTCTCTCTTCTCCTTCTGGTATTCTCTTTATGAATATGTTACACCTTTTATAATTATCCCACAGTCTCTGCATATTTTGCTCTCCGCCCCCAGTCTTTATTCTCTTTATTCTTTTTCATTTTTGAAGTTTCTATTGCTATATCCTTAAGCTCAGAGTTTGTTTCCTCAGCCATGTCCAGTCTACTATTAGTAATAAGCCCATCAAAAACATTTCTTCATTTCTGTCAGTGGTTTTGATCTCTAGCACTTCTTCCTGAGCCTGTTTTAGAATTTCCATTTCTGTTTACATTGCCCATCTGTTCTTACATGCTGTGTGCTTTATCTAGTGTCCTTCGCATATTAATTATAGTTATTTTAAATTCCCAATCTGATAATTCCAAAATCCCTGCCATATCTAAGTCTAGTTCTAATGCTTGTGCTATCTCTTCAAACTGTGTTTTTTGCCTTTTAGTATGCCTTGCAGTTTTTTCTTGTTAGCCAGACATTAATTATGTCCTAGATAAAAGGAAGTGCAGTAAATAGGCCTTCAGTAATGTGGTGGTAAGGTGTGCAAGGAGGGAAAGCAGTCTACAGTCCTGTGATTAGGTCTTTAGTGAGCCTATGCCTCTGAACTGTGAACTTCGAAAGTACTTCTTAGTCTTCCCTTAGGTGGGACAGGGTGGCTAGAGTGGGCTTGGAGTTAGAGCTGATAAAACTCCAATAGTTTAAGCTCTGGTAAAATAGCTTCTCCTAAGGGAAAGCCTTAAGAAGAGCAGAATGCTCTGGCCTATTTCAAAAATGGTTCTTTTTCTCCTTCCCCTTGCTGAAAACATGAGGGGATTTTTCTCATGTTTACTGCCAGAATCTGGTTGAACTCCTGGGGGTAGAATGCATGAAAGCGTGGGGTCCCCCCATACCTGGGGCTCCTCTAGAGCTTTTGACTCTGACTTGTCTGCACTGAGCCCCCAGCAGTTCATCAGTTACAGTTGAAGTGCTTCTACCCTGGCGCTGCTCCTATAGGGGTTTCTCCTTCAGTAAGTTGTGATTCTCTGTATTTGCCTGGTGGGCTGTCCAATTTGGGGGCAGCAGTTTGCTTCACGGATATTTCTTAGAAGAGTTGTTGATTTTATAATTTGTTCAGTTTTTTACTTGTTAGAATGGAGTGGTGACTTCTGAGCTCCTTACATGCTGACTGGAAGTGAGAAGTTTATGTTTTCACCTTTGATGTCCTACCCCAGGGACAACTAAGCGATGTGGGAAAAACAAAAGTGTTCATTGAATTCAGGCTGTAGATCTGAAAGGAGCTTTAGAAGTTCAGCTGTGGGCATTCCTCTCTCAGGAATATTCCAACGTTTAGCACAGTAACGGAGTAGACTGTATACATACAACCCATTTGGGTCCAGAATTCAAAATAATTTTGTTTCAGAGAAAGGAATTAAGTTTTCCTAGAGTCTTTGTTCTCCCTGGAAGGAAATATAAATGTGATATTTATTTATCTATAATTTAATATCTGTAGCAAGAATGGCTGAAAGGAAATAACTAGAAACAGTGGTTGTCTCTACAAGATGATTTGATAGATGATTTTAGTTCTGTGTGATGGGATGATGGGCAATATTTCATTTTTTTTTTGCTTTTTTTTTTTTTTTTTTTTTTTTTTTTTTTTTTTGCATTTTCCAAATTCAATCTCAAATGAACATGTAGCACTTCATGAACATCTCATACAATCAGATAAAAAGGTAGTTTTAGGCCATGAACATTTGTATGTCTCTTCTCCATGTCTCCTAACAGTGTGCAAAATGAACGTCCACCGCCGATGTGAGACCAATGTGGCCCCCAACTGTGGTGTGGATGCCAGAGGAATCGCCAAAGTGCTGGCTGACCTGGGTGTCACGCCAGACAAAATCACAAACAGCGGCCAGAGGAGGAAAAAGGTAACTGGCTGTTTGCTAGCGTTTCTGGAGCACTTCTGGTCTAGTATCTCTGTGTTGGCTTCCTGAGAGTGCTCTGAAGTGAGGTTTTAAGATTCCTGGGTTTGAGGTATTTTACTCAAAACAGTATGTGCTTAAATTAAAAAGAAAAGAGGCCAGGCAGGTAACATTGAAGTCTCCTTCAGCTCCAAAAGTAGGGTGAAAACAAGGTAGGCCTCAAGGGTTACGTTTGCCAGAGAAACATAAGCTTTGAGATGAGGATTTTGGAATTCCTTCTAGAAAAAGGTTAACTCTAGACCAAAAAAAAGACTTATCTGCCTCCAGAACTGGCACGGAAAGCAATGTCAGTGCCTGAACTTTGCCCCTGGTATTATTATAATGAGGATAAATGGAGGAAGAGTTGGAACCACATTCTTTTCTAGGGAGAAAGCCAAGGAGATTCGTGATAGCACCGGCACGGAGCTGCCTGAGGAATATTGTTAATGTTCCATGACATGAAACATCTGGGCCTTTCTTCGGAGACTGATCTGTGTGACATTCTGAATATTAGTAGGAAGAGATCCATTTGCTTAAATGTTACTTTGTCAAGCGGGGGCCCACAGATGTAAATAGAGCTGAAGGCATCTGTAGCACTTTGTTTACGGGCTCTTCTTTAGCCTTGGCTTCTCGCCTAGAAAATTGAAGAGGTCTTTGAAAAGTAAGTTATGAGAAAATCAGAAACATGTTCACTGGCAAGAGATGCTGGTGCAAGGGTGTGGTGGGAGCGGCCCTCGCCGCTCACTGTCAAACACCCCGGGCTCTCTGCTACAAAAGCAAGTCTGACTCTAGGTGCCTCAACAGTCTTGACTCCTAAATGTTCTCCCTAAATTTTGCCTGGAAATACCTTCTAAAGGGCCCTGAGTTTCCTAGTTATCTGCTCATTTTAGAACCTGCCCCTGTCTTTTCCATGGCGCCGCCCAGAAGAGCCTTTTCTCTTACATGGGAAGGGATGGATTGTTTTCATTTTCTTAAACTTCTCCTCCTTTGCTATGTTCTCAGTAAACAAAGCTGTTTCACAAAGGTTTCAGAAAAAATTCTCTTCTCCCTGGTTAACTGAGATTTTGTAGTTTTGGTGGCTCTTCTTGGCCCTGTAAATCCCATTGGTGGAAATAGGACTTCGGTTGCTGACCCAAGGTGCCAGCATTGCAAGCGGGGATGTCATTCCCCAAGAACGCCACGGCCCCTCTGGAGAGGCAAGTCGCACAAATGCTGATGACAACGTTAGACACGTTTATGAGATGTAGAAAGTACTTTTCAGGAGATATGGTTCTTTTTTATTTTTTCTGGCTAGAAGTAAAGATAGGGTCTTTGTCCTAAAACATTGAAAAGAAAACTTAGTACCTGCCCTCTCTGCCAGCGAAAGCCTGCGTTTTCATGGCTGTGATGCTCCTGATGCAAAAGCTGGAAAAAGCCACATCAACAGCTCCAGTTAGTGTAACAGGATGGGGGAAGATGCCCTTGGCCGGAAACTGCAAAGCCTTCCTGGGGTTTTGGTTCCCTTGTGTTGCCCCCTTGTAAGAGCCCATCATCCAGAGAGGACAGATGCTCACAGTGGGTGGAAAAAGAGTGGAGGGGACCAGACGTGTTTGTCGTGTAACTTAGTCCAAACTGCTGACTTTAATGGCAACTTAAGTGGCCGTGCCAGCATCTCTGCCAAGAAAAAAATTTCACTGAGGGTGTTTTTATTAAAATTTGCCAACAATTATCGGTACGTCTGAAAATACTTACTGAGCATCTATTATGCAAGTCACTAGGGGTGATAAAAGTACTAGGTAGTCTTGTCTTCAGAGAACTTATAGTCGAGGAGAGATCCCCCGACAACGTACACATAAAGATATTAACTACATAAAGCTGAAGAAGATAATAAGTACCAAACAGGTGTTAGAGACAGTGTGTCACGTTGCTTTGGATGAGATAATAGCATCATTTCGATCGGCAGAGGGAGGCTTTATGGAAGAGGTAAGGCTGAGCTTTGCTTTGAAAGGTCAACTGTATTTGGATAGAATAAAAATTGAACAAATAGATTCTCTTGTTTTTCTTCCCTTTAATTGGCAATTGAAGCCTGGAGTCTGTGCTTTCAGAATATCAATCCAGCAAGCCCCTGTGCACCAGGGACCCTCACAGCTCTTATTGTAGCGTCTTGAGCTCTCTCTTCTGATGGCTTTCGTTCCTTCTCTCCTCTCTAGCTCATTGCTGGTGCTGAGTCCCCGCAGCCTGCTTCTGGAAGCTCGCCGTCTGAGGAAGATCGGTCCAAGTCAGCACCCACCTCCCCTTGTGACCAGGGTGAGACCCTCAGATTTGCGTCCTTATCTCTGAGCTCTGTCGCCGGAAAGACCTAGGCACTTAGGCCTCTTCACCAGGCATGACCTTGTTAGCGGACACAGCTAGACGCCTTGAAAGGTCTTCAGACACCCTTTCCCTGTTGACTTAATGGTTGTTCTTTCACTCTGCAAGGCTTTCTTGAGGGCTGGGCACTAAATGGCCATGCCTGCCCTAAATTCCTTCCAGGACAGGGTAAGAGAAAGAGTATGTGATGTTATAGTTTGTTATTTTCCCTGGCCTGTTTCCCTGGTTCTAGGTATAGGGGACAGAGAGGGGTCCAACTTCTTTTCTTTGCTGTCTGCTCAGTGTCTGGCCCTAGACCTGTCAGCCGGCTCACGGGAGTTGAATGTGACAATCCCTCCCATTGTCATACCCCAAACCTGAGATCAGGTTGAGTTCAGGGACGGGTGGGGGAGGATGTCGCCTGTCCTGGCCTTTGGTTGGGTGGGGCTAGAAAGATGAAGCTGGAAAAGAGGTTGAGAGAAGGAGGGAGGAGGCCGGCTCTAGGCCTAACTCCCCTCCACAGCTCAAGGTTTCTTCTTCTGTTGGAACATGCTTAAAGTAGCAATAAGTTCTGCATGGTAATAACTCTGCACACATCTAAGAACGCTGAGGCTGGGGAGGACTTACGCATTTAAAACCTTTTACTCTGGTGACCGGTACCCAGCGTCACTGGGAAGGGCTGTGTGCATCTGCAGAGCAGGAATAATCACCACTGTATAACCATAGTGCCTTGGTTTCTGCAGCCCCTTCTGTATTCGTTATCCTCACTTGCTGCTGACACCGCTCTGTGCTGGTGCGCCACGCTGTCCCCAGGCTACCGGCTGGGAAGTGGAAGGGGTGAGGGTTGAAGAGATTTGTCCCAAGGTTGTGAGCTAAGTCAGTGGTAAGGGTGAGACTGTGCCCACCTGGCTCAGGGACCCACTTTCAGAATTCCTGCCATCAAAACCCTCCCTGGAGGTCACCATTGTGACCCAGTCCCCTTCTTATCCAGAAGTAAACAAAATAGCTTCAGAGGCCATGTGCCCGTCCTGTGGCCACAAAATAATTGGTCTCGGTCCCTCTTTGTCCTGCTCCCATTAATTTTCTGTGTCTTTATACTCTACCTCGTTCCAAAAGAGATGTGACCCATTCCTAAGTAACCTGAGAGCACTCTGGGGCTCCACACTTACAGGTGTTACCCCGGACCAATGTGGGCACTTTCTTCTTTCCCTTTTTGCTGCTGAGACCTGCTTTGGGAGCTTCAAAGAGACGGGGTCATATGGTAAAGAGACCCCAAGTGAGAAGAGGAGACCCTGGTTTCTAGGCCTGGCTTCTGCCCTGGATGTTGTCTGGCCTTGCTAGGATGCAGTGCCTCTCGGGGGACCCCGTTCAGCCCAGTCAGTGTAGACACCAGTGTTTCCCAGCTGTGATGCATGCACAGATGGCTGGGAAAGCCCTCTTAGCAAGACATGGTGTTGTTACAGGGCGGAAGTCAGACGTGGTTTCTCTTTCTTCCATTGCAAGAACACATAGAAAAAAACACTTTCTTCAAGCTTTAGTCCCCACTTAGTTCTGCCTTCCAAAATCCATTTAATAACTGAGATGTTTAGCTCCATGGTGAGATTAAAAATTACACTCAGTTAAGAGTGATAGGTAGCAGCTGAATTGGTGTGGGGAATAGCTGTGGACGCAGAAGCTGCCCCTCCCCCTCTTCCCTCCCCACCGCGCCGGCACATCTCGGAGGAGCCAGACTCCAGATCTAAGAAAGATCTCCGAATTCCTTGAGTTGAGCCCTCAGGGGCCTCTGTCCTTCTGAAAAGAAGCTGAAGATCTCTTTCCATCAAGGGGCATGTGGTCACTGCTGCCTGATTCTCACTCTCAAGGCTTAATAGTCTATGTTCCCTATCTGTAATCCCCGTTATTCACAAGCATCTTTTAAAATTGGATTATGCTCAAGACGCCCATTTCTACACAGCAGAGTGTGTGTCTTGGGGAATGAGTAGCTAGCCGTAAAGCTTCTCCACATAGGAAAGGTCAGAGGAGCACCGGGCGCTATCAGCCGCAGGTAATTCAGGTCACGTGCTCTGGAAGGAGGCACCAGACTGTCTCACGGTTGTGCAATTGTACTGAGGAATTCCCTGCCCATCGGAGATAAGTCTGCATCACGTCACCCTGGGAAGCAATTCTTTGGTTAGTGATGAACCCGTTGCTCATTTTGTTAGATAATCTCGTGAGATGGGTATGTAGAATGAACCCAGCAACAAGGCCAGGTAAAGACCTTTAGAAGGTGTGAGGCCTTCCTAGTCTCAGTTGTTGAAATAATTATGTCACCAGTGATTACTGTGATGTTGATTAGTTCTAATCTTGAAAGGAAACTTGAAAGGCCCTTGCTGCCCCTCACTCTGCCGAGCTCCAGGAAGGCCCGGGGTCCTGTGCTACGCTTAGAAGAACGGAGGGGGCCGCCAGGCAAAGGAGGCTTCAGAAAGGCGGCCAGGTCCAATGTGATCTGAAGGAGCTTGTGGGGACACGGCAGCGACTATGTCGCCCTCTTTGCACAGCTAGGCGCTGCTGTATGTTAGGTGCCGACGAGTGTGTGTTGAGCAAAGAAAGGAAGGCGTGTGGGATGCCACCCTGGGTCTGTTGCTATGAAGCACCAGACAGAAGGTTCAGAGCTCATGGGGGAAATTCTGAGTATTGAATCCTAAGACGGGAAGGGCTCGTGAGGTGTGCACTAACTCGGTATCTTGTCGCCCTTGGCCTAGAACTGAAAGAACTTGAAAACAACATCCGGAAGGCCTTGTCATTTGACAACCGAGGGGAGGAGCACCGGGCAGCGTCATCCACTGACGGGCAGCTGGCGAGCCCTGGCGAGAACGGGGAAGTCCGGCAAAGTCAGGCCAAGCGCCTGGGCCTGGACGAGTTCAACTTCATCAAGGTGTTGGGCAAAGGCAGCTTCGGCAAGGTCTGTGGCGCACATGGGCGGAAATGCTGGTTTCCTCTGCCCCTTGGCAGTGCCTCCTCTGGTCGATCTAAGATTAAAGAAGAACCTTTCAGCCTGGTTATGTTGTCCTTCCTTGTTGGGTGGAAATGGCCTGAGGCCAAGCAGAAGGGACCCCTGACTCAACTGTTAATGGCTATGGGGCTTTAGCGTAGTGATTTAACCTCTTTAGAATTAAGGTTTTTTTGCATCTGTCAAATGGGGACAGGAATCAAGTGAGACAGTGGATGGGAAAGCACTTCAAAAAGTTTAAAGTGCTTTAAACATATTCAGCATTCCATCATCAATGATAGTATCAGTGCATTTCTTCCCTCCTTCAGAGATCCATCTGAAATTCTGTTCTATTTGATTTCGAAGACTTTGAAAATGAACTCTAGAATCTCTGCCCTCCACGAACTTAGGGTTCAAAGCAAATCTTAGCATGCGTTACTTTGGAAGTTAAATTATTTAACGATTTTTCTGACACTTAATACATGTTCTGTTTATCCTCCATATGTGGCAAGAGAATGAGAGTAACATGTCTTGGATCATGTCCTCTGCCCTGGGGGCCATTTCTCCATACCTGCTCCCCTTGGAGACAAACACGGTGGTGTGGGGTGTGGCTTCGTGTGTGCTGGGTAAAGCCTTGATGATGATCAGCCACCACCATCCTGATGGCTGGGTGAGATGGAAGAAAAAAAATCCCTGTTCATTTTAGAAAGAAGAAAGGAGGCGCGGAGAGTGCAGGAAGCTGATTAACATTTCACCCGAGATCCCTGGCTCTTCTCAAAGCTGTGCCTGGGTGTCACCTTTCTGGGTCCTCCAGGACCAGGCGGCTCCTGGGGGTCACATGCCCTCCGTGTACTGCACTCTTGAAGGCAGCAGCTGTAGGCCCATTCCAGCTGGTTCCCAGCCGTCTCACCTGCCGCTATCTCACCTTGAGATCACTGTGGCAGGAGGTAACTAAAGTTTACTTAAACGGCAAAAGCTGAAGCAATCACATTCCTTAGAGACTGGCTAAATAAGAAGCAGACCCCAGTCCTCTGGCTAGGCATGACTCTGGGATGTGGACAGGACTTGATTTAATTTTGAGCGAGATTCAAGGGAAACGATCAGACTCGGTTTCCAGCTTTCCATATAGTGTAGGCAGGATAAGCACTTTAACTCTGGAGGGTTTAAGTTGTTTCTTAGGAAAAATCACAGCCAAAGTGCGAGCCAGTTTTAAAGAGTGTGTGACATGTGGGTGATGAAGGGTGTTCAGGGTCATCATCCCCAGTTCCCTCAGCAAGTTTCTGAGTGGCTGCTTTTTAGCTTTGACGACTTCCATTGGAATACTAAGGAGTTATTTAAAAAGACATTTGTGACATTTGTAGGTGAATGAGTACAAAAATATCAAATACGGGAACATTTTCAGAAAATAGAACTGTTAATTAGCTCTCTGGAAAAGCAATCATGTTTCCAGCTCTAAAGCTATAGAAAAAACCATGAGGCAAACAAGGACAGATTCAAGCACATAAAGAGAAATGATTCTGGCCGGGCGCGGTGGCTCACGCCTGTAATCCTAGCACTCTGGGAGGCCAAGGAGGGAGGATTGCTTGAGTTCAGGAGTTTGAGACCAGCCTGAGCAAGGGCGAGACCCCGTCTCTACTAAAAAAATAGAAAGAAATTAGCCAAACAACTAAAAATGGAAAAAATTAGCCGGGCATGGTGGCACGTGCTTGTAGTCCCAGCTACCTGGGAGGCTGAGGCAGGAGGATCGCTTGAGCCCAGGAGTTTGAGGTTGCTGTGAGCTAGGCTGACGCCACGGCACTCTAGCCCGGGCAAGAGAATGAGACTCTGTCTCAAAAAAAATAATAATTAAAAAAAAGAGAGAGAGAAATTATTCTTTTCAATAGAAAATAACAAAAAGTCTTAAAACAGGCTTAGAGAAATCTTTGCAGAAAATAAAGGGTTGGTATCTTTATTGTATGTGTATTAATTTGCAATAAACTAATAACACAGCAGATAACTAGACACAAATAATTCATACAAAAAGAAATAGCTAGAAAACAAATTTTTAAAAAGTGTTAGAGCCAGGCAGAGTGGCTGGCCACTGTCATCCTAGCTACTTGGTAGGCTGAGGTGGGAGGATTGCTTAAGCTCTGGAGAGTTCGAGGCTGCAGTGAGATAAGGTCCTGCCACTGCACTCCTGCCTGGGTGATGCAGTGAGACCTCATATCTTTAAAAAAAAAAAAAAAAGAAAGAAAAAGAAAAATGTGCAAGTTGAAACAGCATAGAGGTAACATTTCACACCTATTAAATGAGTAGAAAAAAAACTTAAGTGAAAGCACTCAAGGTTGATAAATTGCATGAAACTAAAACATTTCTGTGTTGCTAGTGGCACATTGTATTGCACATCCTTTTTGAAAATAGGAAATGTGCAAAATGTTTAACTCTTTTATCTACTTCTGAGGATGTCTGTCTTAAGGATGTAACCCAAAAGAAACAGAAAAATTTTATGTACAAAATAGTCAATGTTATTTACTTATGATACTTAATAATTAGATATAACTTAGGTGTCTAATTTGAGGGAAATGGTTAAATAAATTATAGTGTATTTATTTGAATTGCATATAAGCAGCCATAATGAGAGCATGTAGAAAATGCTTACAAAGTAACGTTCAGTTAAAAGTAATTATTTGCTGTACTACATTGTAAATATGACAGGCATACACGAAGGTATGACTAATCATTGGACAGATGTGCATTGAACTTCTTTTTTCTATGCCCGGGCACTGTGCCACAGATTAAAAATAAATAAACTAAAGTAGCTATATTAGAATGGGTAGTTTTCCTAAACGTTTTTTAATGCTGTTATGGTATTTCAAATTAAAGGAAAAAAATTAGTTTTCCAAGTATTTGGCATTAAACTTGTGTTTCTTCTGTTGCTTTTATACATGCATAGATTGATGGGGCGATTTTGATCGATTGCAGGTCATGCTGGCGGAACTCAAGGGCAAAGACGAAGTGTATGCTGTGAAAGTCCTAAAGAAGGACGTCATCCTTCAGGATGATGACGTGGACTGCACGATGACAGAGAAGAGGATTTTGGCTCTGGCACGGAAACACCCGTACCTAACCCAACTCTACTGCTGCTTCCAGACCAAGGTATGTTTAGGAAGCACCTGGCTGACGAACATCTTGGGGCAGCATTGTGTAGGGCATTATAGTATCTTGACTGTCAGATAAAATATCAATTTTAGACACTCTACATTGTGCTCTCAAAGACTTTGTAAAGTGGAATGGATTTTACCCTTGAAAAGATCAGGCTATATTTGAACAGCATCATCTTCTTTATTTAAGGACATGGGATTTTCCATTCAAGGTTGTGCTTGTAAAGGGATGAGAGAGCAGTAGAACTCTTTCCAAATACAGCTGGACAAAGCCAAATGGCTAAAACCCGATGTTTGCTCGTTGGAAAAACCAACAGGCATGGTTAGTCCTTGCTATGCTCCTAACTTCCTATTGCTAATCAAATGATTTAAATTCTATGTTACTTTCAGGTCAAATGAAAAAGAGTAAAGGCTACCCCAGTCACTTCTAATTCGTGTATTATCATATGAGGTAAAGGATGTGAGCAAATGCTTAAAATTTCATAGTGAAATATAAATATGAGGTGGCATTTTTAATTTGCCATGTAGGTGCCTAGGAACCAGAAGGTGGCAGTAAAGAAACAAAGAAAATCTGTCACTACATCCTAGAGCCTGTCCTATGAGTATTATAACTGATTTGTTCCTCATTCTTAGAAAAGAAATGCCAACGTTCTTTGCTTTTATTATCCATTTTGGGAAGGGGAGTTAGTCTTTGAGGACCATGATGGATTTGTAGCATTTGATTTTTGGAGAAGGTAAAGACAGCCTCACCTGAAACTCCTACCTGTTTCCACCTGGAGCCCAGACCTTAGGGGTGAAGTCACAGAGAGGCCATGTCGTGCTCCTGGGCATAATCTTGCCTCTGTGTCATTGTGAGTACCAGTCTTTCACTTAGAAGTCAGAGACTACTCATCTGGTCGTTCAGCAAGTTTATATTTTATTATATTTCACTGAATCTTTCCCATGTGCCATACCAGGTGCTAAAGTGAACCACACCCAGGCCCTGACTTTAGGGAGTGGATAGTCTCTTTGGTACACTGTTTTTCAAAGGGTATTTGCTGGAACCCTGAGAAGCTGGATTCTTGACAAGCTATAAGAAAAAAAGACTCTCTGGCCCATAGTTGGGGTCACTGCAGTTTTGACCTCTCTTGGAGAGTCTCAACACATATTTGTTTGTTTATTGGAGTCCTTGAGGAGGCCTGCAATGGGGAAAAAAATTATCTGTGTTCAATCTACTTGTTCTCAACTTATCTGATCCCAAGCTCCCCATCTCTCTCTCTCTCACACACACCTCCCCACACCTATTCCACACTGAGAAACACTGATGTGATGGAATTTTTTCTATCCCTCTGATTTCTCAGGAGAATAGGAAATATATTCTGGAAATCATTCTGCTATCCTTCAAAGACACCTACGTTTCTTTGTCTATGAAACTTTCCTCAGAGACCCCCATTTAATAATAACCTATCCCTTTTTCTGAACAAGTTTAAGACTTATTAGCTATCTGCGTTTTTGATGTGTGTTGTGCAATGCCTAACATTTATGGGTTTAGAGTGTATGTGTATATACAGAGTCTAACATGATAAGAGAGTTTCAGTGCTGGAATCAACTTTCTTTTTTCCATTAGAGCATGATTCTAGATTAATGAAAAATGTATCATAATCTATATGTCTTTATGTTCCATGGTGCCCGTCATAGGACCTTACACCTGGTAGGTGCTCACGGTCAAAATCAAAGAAAGATTTTTTTCAAAGCCACGTTTTCTTCTCGGTCTCGCTCTCCCCCCAGCCCCCATCCCACCAGTGAGAAAACTGGGTTTCAGAGAAGTAAGTCTTCTGTCCATGGAAACTCCATATTGGCAGAGTCAGACCTGGCTTCTCATCTGGTCTCTGGGACTCCCAAGCCAGTGAGGCCTTGCTCTGATATCACGTTGCTACTTTCTTATGCCTGACCCAGCACAGTGTCCCCTCTCGGGGGGAACCCTCTTACCCTTCTGTTCCCAGCAGGTAGCTATCTGTCTGTCAGAGGTGGCTTCCCAGAAAGGGAGCCACACTGGCATTCTGTCTTTGGACACATTGCCAAGAGGTCCAGCATCTTAGGAGGGGCCCAGTCTGGTTGTGTGGAGCTCTGGACATGCAGATCTTGGGAAGCTGCAGCTGAAGGTCAGCTTGGTGGGTGAGGGAGGGAGTGAGAACGAATATCATCAATGTCAGCAATGTTCTCCTCTGTGCATTGTAGAATCATGAGGCTGAGGTTCCTTATTGTATGGGAGCTTTGGGAGCACGAAATGGTGTTGAATGACACCATGGATTTTCTTTATGGCAGAATAGTGATCAAACTGACATGGATGTTGAGATCTGGATGATTGGAGGGTGAGGATGGGAGAGAAGGAATTTTCTCTGTAGTTCAGAGATTGTAAGCACAGTTACTTTGCACTAACTTCTACACTACTACACTTCTACACTACTTAGTAGAATACTTTGCTTTACACAACAGATGTATATTCACCTAATTTTTCTAAGTGAATCATATTTCAACCTCACTGAAGGATCTTATGAAAGGAATCTTATGAAGAATCATAAACCCCCAGCTTTTTTAAAAAAAATGTGACTTTGACTATCAATCATGATTTTAAAGAGTAGCTATTACTCACCTAACTCTGAGGTAGGTGCTGGGTGTGGAGTTATCAGCAAAAAGGAAGATGCTTCCCAAGTGGAGAGGTTTACTGAATAAGGGATTGGGAGGTTGTACTAACTGCACAAGCACAGACAACAGCAAATAGCATTGAGTAGTTACACTCTGCAGGGGAATATTCAAACCCAGAGGACTCAGGACAGGGTGTTTCTTCAGGTCTAGTGGGAGGAAGGGGTCTGAAGCCCCAGGATTTGAAGGGTAAGGAGGATTTGGACAGGACTTGGGTGAGAATGGGAGCTGGATTTGGTAGCCATAGAATTTGGTCTTGCTTGAGTTTCACTTTTCCTAAAATGAAAGGATGGTTCCTCTGAAACCTGGTTTCAACTAAGATTCTAATATATGATTCAGGAACACAAAGACCTGATTGCAATCCTATTAAGAGTTCTTTCATTCTTGTTTAATTATGACACAGCAGCAATGATGTTAAGTCAGGTTTAATTATTTGCAGGTGAGCCATTATTTTTCAGCATGTAGGAAGAAATAGTCCTTTTGGAAACATTCTTTTGAGAACTTCCTGGTAGATGGCACACAGCTTCAGGCTGTGTCCTGCATACAGGTTGCCTGGCAGGACTTAGACGTGTGTGAAGTGGGGGTACCCTGTCTCATATGGCAGCCAGCGGTGATGATCGTGCAGACCCACTGGCATCAGTCATGATGGCATAGTCAGTTCTGGTCACCACAGCCCACTGAAAGACCAAGTTACAGCTGAAAAGTGTTTTGGGCTTTTCTGTGCTGAGCCTACCTGCCCTCGGCTCATGTGTTCTGGTCATTCTCCACGGGATCTGGACGGACAGAAAGCAAGTGAAATGATGGCTCCAGCTTCCCTGTGCTAGTGAGAAAAGGCAGACAGGCCAATAAATTAAGCTGATAACTTTAATTTCAGTTAAGTTCAAACCATTATGTTTGACTTGCGCTCCCACTATTCAGTATTCTCTTTGGGATGCTAGAGGAACCTGAGCCAAGGAGGGAATTCTACAAATTCTTTTTAATTAGCTGTCAAAACATAAGGTACAGAAAAGGGGAGAAGGGACTTCTGGTTCTAGCTAAGATGGAATAACCTCATTCATCCCACGTCCTCCCACTTACAACTAAAAAACCCTGGACATGATTCTTCTTTTATAAAGGTATTATGCTTATGGAAACTGGCATAGCTATAAAGAATTATATCTCTCGATATGGATGAGAAACTAAAATTTTTATATTTAAAACTGCCAGATGACTTTTAAATGGATGACACTAAGTTATTGTCAGTAGTGTTTAATATTTTCTCATATGAAAAAGGACATATTTTCTCATATATACAGTTTTTTGCCTTAAAAAAGTTATGGCCTATAATTAATTCAGTGAATGTACAAGTTTTATTGTGCATCTACTGTGTGCCAAACACTGCTAGATTCTGGGCTACAAAGCTAAAAACATACCAACTCTGAACTCAGAGTGGGGAGACAGACATACAAGAGGTGATGTGCTACAGCATGGCAGCTCTTCCGAGGGATCCACATAGGTGATACATCTAAAGTTCTGCAGAAGGCAGCCAGGAAGGCTTCCTGGTGGAGGTAGAAAGTGACCTGGAAGCATGGACAGCATTCAGAAGAGGGTAAGAACCAAGAGATGGTAGTTAAAACCTAAAAAATTATTTCCAAATCTCATTTTTATTATTTTTCCAATGCTAGAGCACCCAACTCATTCTGTCTCTTACTTCTTCCAAGGAAATGATAATGGCTGAACCCCACAGCAAGGAAGGAGAGGGAGAAAGACAGGGTGCTTGGAAAATAAGGTGAGAGATTCCTGTGTCTGATCTGCTGGTTAGCAGAGAGGGGCAGGTAATGCTGGGAGCCCTCCCCACTGGGCTGCTAAACTATACAAGTTATGGGCTTGGTCAGGGTCTAGGGGGAGAAGTGACCTCAAGAATCGCCTCTCCCAGGCTCCCATGCATGCATTGACTGCTAGGAACAGGATAGCCACTAAGAGGTAGGTTTGTTTTTGCTTTTGTGTTTGAAGTTACAGGAAATAAAATTCCTGGATTTTTAGATTTCTGTGTATTTGCATTTGTGATCCCCTATCGTTGAAACCATTCTCTCCAACAGGATCCCACAAAACCTGTCTTGGATAATTTTCACCCATGATTTTTCCTCTTTAAAAATTTTCATCTCCACACAGTCCTACCCATCCTCCACCCTTTGGCATTTCCTGCCAGGCCTGGGAAGCCAAATCCTGGAGGGTTTTGCTGCAGAGGAAACAAAGGGTGAACTCCTAGAGAATCTCCCTTGGCCAACCTCCCTGCTGCCCTGGGGAAAACGCAGCATGGAAAAATCCTTAAAA